TTTGCTGAGCCCAGCGACTGAGCAAAGAAGTTCACAATTACGTACAAAATTGTCCACAATTATGTATAACTGCGATATACGCAGCTTATGAAGAAGAAAAAAGTTCATAAGCATTTAGTGTGTAGAACCGGGTTACCCGGGTACCCGGGTATTACCCGCAACCCGGAGATCCGGGTACCCGGGTACGCGGGTATTACCCGCAAACCCGATACCCGGTTATTACCCGTGGAACCGCGATGCACCCAGTGCCCCACGGGGCACAACTCGAACTGCGGCGCTACCTGGCTGCCGCCTACCTGTGAGGCGGGGGCCGGGAAATAAATGCCGTGCGCGGACTGCGGCGCTCCGGGCAGGGGGCGGGGGGAGAACGCTTGAACTGTGCCGTTCACGGAAAGAAAAGGGTCTTTTCGCGTGAATGATAAAAGCATTATAGCCAATACAGCTAATCATTATTATCGCTCAGAAATATTGGTGAAGTGAACCGCACCCGTTCGTATGGCAGGTGCAGGCCACGAAGGGACCTCTCCCCCCATTTTCCGGTAAGCCCTAGGAAGGTAGGCCTGCTGTACAAAACCCGTATAGGCAATCGACAGTCTCCCCCCCTCCCCCCCCGCCCAAACCAATAGCCGGACATAAAACAGCGCTTGTCGTGTGGTGGCACTAAAATTGATTTTTACACCGTTGTGATCAGTCGTTAAAATTGAAAATTGAATATATCACCAAGTAAAGGAGGGGCAATGGTTCAAAAGATGTTCAAAAGAAGTAAAATATTAATGCTTACAAAAGTGATGTGCTACGCGTAATTAGTACAACTTACTTTCTTTCACATGACTTTAATCAATCAATTATCTGCACATTGGCAAAACTTCTTACAGAAAAAAAGTACAATTGAGTGAACATTTTAATAACACACAAAAAACATTAACACGCAGAGTCACTCAGCTTAGCGCATTCCTAAAATACTCAGCAATATATTTCTATTTTGATACAAAAAAACAAGCATCGAAACATTCTCCGGCAGGAGACTGGCGCGGTGGGGCCTCACCGTATACCCCGCCGTGGAGAAGTCCCTCTCACTGCTGGCGGACGTTGCAGGGACGGCGAGGTAGCGGCGTGCCAGCTGCGCTATTGTGGGGTAGCGCTTCTCGCGGCTCTTCCACCAGGCCAGCGGGCACTGGTTGTGGCCGATCTCCGGCTCCGCCAAGTACTCACTGTACTCCGCCTCCCAGGTGCGCTGGCCTCCGACCTCCGCCGGGCCGCAGAACAAGAAGTCCAGGCCGCTGCTCGGGACGGGCGCGCTCCCTTCGACGTCAAGGTCCGCGGACACCGCTGCCTGAGTTTGCAGCTTCTCCTTGATGGTGCCGCGGATCTTCTCGGCCTCTTCAGGAGTTGGCTCGGCCCGCAGGTCCTTGTAGCGTGGGTCGAGGAAGGTTCCCAGCTGGTGGATGTGGACGGGCCGCTCCACGGCCGCATCCATCTCGAAGCGCTTCCTGAGCTGAGTGCTCACCTCCACCTTGAAGTCCCTCACACGCTCCTCGCACTCGTCCAGCAGCAGGTCGGTCTCATCGTGCCTGAAGTGGACGTCGAGCAGGGCCCGCACGACAGGCCGCACGGTGGAGATGGTCACCTTGTTGTCGGCGCAGAGGACGGTAGTGGCGACCTGCAGCGGCTTGAGCACGGGGAGCATGGCCTCCAGCTCGTCCCACTCCCCCGTCGACATCTGCAGCGCCCGAGACTGCTTTGCGGAGGTGGCGGCCCTGTCGGAGAGCACGGCGGAGACGGCGGTGCGCGACTCGGTGAGGCTCTGGCACATGAAGTACGTCGAGTCCCACCTCGTGGCGCACGACTGCACCAGCTTGCACTCCTTGAGGCCCGCCGTCTTCTGCGCAGCCTGGAGCGCCTCGGTTGCCTTGGTTGAATGGTGGAAGTGCGCCACCACCTTCTTGGCCTTCTTGCAGGCGGCCATGAAGACAGAGTTCTTGTTTAACGCGTCGTTGACGCAAAGCTGCAGAAGGTGGGCGGCACACGAAACATTAAACTCCACGAAGTCGATCAGACCCACGGCGTTGACGATGTTACTCGCGTTGTCTCTCGTGATGCTGGTTGTCCTGCCCTCCAGGTCCCACGCATTGCACATTTCGACGAGAGACGTCGCGAGGTTGTCCGCCGTGTGGCTGCCCTCCATGCCCTCCGTGCAGAGTGTGTACTGCGTCATCTTCCACGCCTTGGTGATGGCATGGGCCGTCAGCGAGATGTACGCGTCCAGGGCGCGCGACGTCCAGCAGTCGGTCGTGAGGGACACGTACTCCAAGCCGCTCAAGGACGCCTGCACCCTCTCCTGCACCAGGCCGTAGAGGTCGCGCAGCCGCGTCCTCATAGTTGACGCGCACGGCACCTTGTATGCGGGCTCAAGGACCTGCGACGGGAACAAAAGTCAGTGATGTGGGCCGTGGAGCGGGTAGGCGGGGAGTCGCGGTGCTGGGAGAGTGGACTCACCTTCATGAAGCCGATGAAGCCCTCCCTGTCCACTACGGAGATCGGCAGCTGGCACGCCGCGATGAGCCCCGCGATGGCCTGCGTCACCGCTTCCTGACGCTCGTTGGTTAGAGGACGAGGAGGTCCTGCCCGGGCGCGCTTGGGTGCTGGGCTAACGCTGCGGTTGCTGCTCGAGCTGCGGCTTCGACTGCGCCTGTTGTCACAACTACTGGGGCCGGCAAGGTGGCGGTCAGCCTCACCGCTCTGCTCACCTTCAACGTCATCCTCTGCCTCGCCTGACTCCTCGGCCTCCTCCCTGTAACGATTATACCAGTTAACTCAAGCAAAACAGAGCAACCCAACAGTATAGAAACCAAAAAGAAAAACATAGGAATCTTGTTCGCGGGGGGAACGTGGCTCCAAATGCACGTGAGTTACGAAGCACACTACAGCAACATGCAGTACACACACACCGCGTCCACGTGCTTGCCCAAGATGGGCAGGGCCGACCAGCACTGGGCAGGGAGGGGGTCACAAATACTAAACAATCTTGAAACAAAAATGGCTTCACTTCAAACTCACCTGTTGGCAGTCTGGGTCTCCGATGCTGGCTTCAAACCATGCAGGTTGTGCAGGTGTTTGTTGAGAGCCGACGGGGAGCCCTTGTAGCCGAGCTTCTTTCGGCACACTTTGCACTCAGCATGTTGAGGGTCTTCTTCAGTGGGCCCATGAAAATGAGCCCACACCCAGCTTGATTTCGCCTCCATTGCATACGACAAGCATGGAGAGTTAGAAAGCAGCAGCAGCACTACTCAGGTGAACTGCACCCGCTGAATGGCTCGCTGGGCGGCGGCTCGCTGGAGGTAACCTCGTATATCGCAAAATTTCGAGACGTTGCTGGCTGGCCAGTGGTCCAGCCGCCCAGTACAAGCGAGTCGAACCGGCGCATGCGAGAGCGCGCCCAGCGCGCCTGTCCGAGCGAAGGGAAGGCTGCGTCCGGAAGCACTAGTCGGCACTACGCACCACCGCACCACCGTTTGAAAGAGGCTCGAACCGCGGCAAATTTTAGGGAATTCCGGGACCGGACCCGGGTAGTCCGGGTTTACCCGCGGAACCGGGTACCCGGTTCCGCGGTTCCATACCGGGTACCCGGGTACCCGGGTACCCGGGTAATACCCGCCGGAACCGGTTCTACCCGCATTGACGGGTATTACCCGGGCGGGCGGGTACCCGGGTAACCCGGTTCTCCGGGTTAAATTGAGAGCCCTACTATACTAAAGCCCGTTTGCTCCGAGTTTGCTTTAGCTTGAGGTTTTTATTTTTATTTTTCCAGTGTGCCATATCGGCCAAGGACCATCATCAAAATCACGCGCGGACGGTGCGGTGCGGTATGCCGTGTCAGCAGCGCTCCTATGGCAGGGAGATCACCCTCGCGGAATGGACATTTTCACGACAGCTGGCGTGGGCGGGGCGGGGCGGGGCGGGGCATCTCGTCGGATTGGGCGCCAGGGAGCGAGGTGTGCGAGGTGCGCACGGCTCTGAGTGATAGCGGAGCGCCACGGCGACGCCCCGTGTCATTCAGCCACGCTGTCGACTTTGTTGCTTTATGAGCAGCGAGGCTCTGCCTATCTGGCACGTCTCTCTCTCTCTCTCTCTCTCTCTCTCTCTCTCTCTCTCTCTCTCTCT